AGAAGAGAGCAGATCGAGCGTCGCCTTCCGTTTCTGTCTAGATTTAATTTTCCCTCCTTATAAATACAATATCACTTAAAAATTATTTGTACCATAGCACAGTATACTTGCCCCCCCCCCCTTCCCAATTGAAAAGGGGGTATATAGTGTATAGTATAATTACATACACTTTGCCATTATACTCATATGGGAGTGAGGGGATCATTATGTGAGCTCAGTGCTCACAGTACCTCTAGTTCACAGGTACTTGTGGACAGGAAATCCCCCCCCCCCCCATTTAACCCCGATGTTTGTTGGACATTTTTTTCACATAGTATATTTATTACACTTATTCATCATGTGATCCATAGGAAAATATTGTGAAAACCCCAAAATAATCGTTCCACACAAAAATACCCCACTATACATTATAAGAGAGACAAACCCCGGGGTTGAATATCGGGGGGGGGGGGGGGCTGTCCGCAAGTACCTGTGTTCTACTTTATATTATGGATTATTTTCAGTATAGGTAAAAAAAAAAGGGGCGCGATGCATAAAAAATATGTCAAAAAAAGGGATTCTTGCTGGGATATATATACCCATGAAAGCAAAATATATCCATAGACGATTAATAGAAAACCAGGAAACATTAATTATACCCACACTTTCAAAAGAAAGTTCTGGTCCCAGTACATTTTTGTTAACCCGGTCAGTCCGTTTTTTTCATACTATTTTCTTCCTCAAAATCCTTATATATTTTACGCAGTTGCCAAATCATCTTTTGAGTTATGATTGGTGTTGAGTTGCGCAATAAGGTTTCAGAGTTTTCATTTTCATCCGGAGTTCAACTGGGGGTTGAAAAACGACGGTTTTCAACAAACCTGGTTCCCAGGACACATTTTACATTTTTGGAATATGATTTGAGGTGTCCTGTAGATGTGCAATAAGTTTTGGGAATTGCATTTTCATCCTGGGACTCAACCGGCGTTAAAAAAAAACGTTTTATTACAAATTTCAGTTACAGGACAACACCAATCATATTCCAAAAAGATGAATTGGCTATTGCTTAAAACGTATTTGAGGGGTTCTGGGAACGAGGTTTTTGCTTGAAAACGTCGTTTTCTAACCTATAGTTGCATCCCATCGAGAAAATGAAAACTCTGAAACCTTATTGCTCATCTACCGGACACCGCCAATAATATTCCAAAAGAAAAATTGGCTACTGGCGTCTGCGTAAACTAGGAAGAAGATATTGTGACAGACGGACTGACGGATGGACAGGGATACCAATGTACCTGAATTTTCTTTAGAAACTGTGGGTAATGTATGACGTACATTTAGTGTAATTCAGAGGTTAGACAGACGCCTGGTTATAACTTTTTCCCATATCAGATTATTCCTAGGGTGACAAAGGATGAATGATAAGATGTAAGGAAATGACAAATCTTTGTCAAAGATTTGTTTGTTTAATCCTAACGTCTATGTTCAGTATACTTAATGAAAGTCTCAATTTCTTTTTCTTTGATTATAGAATGAGCTCGATATTGTTGCCAATGCCTGGAATTGCCACAGAATGATAAAACAACACACCAAAGGAAAACCATTTGTCTTGTGCAATCTCGCGGAACTTTGTGGTGCGGAAGACTTTTTGCAGGATGAAATGAAATGGATTTATGTTCCCAAAAGCCTAAAACTTGCTTTTGAAAGAGAATTTTTTTTTCCTTTTGTGCCATTAGTAATAAATAAGTTTAATTTTTTTTTTTTTTTTTTAATTTATTTATTTTCCTTTCTTTTTCATTGTGCAACCAACAGTTTTCACATGGATGATATATTCCTGTATGTGTCTAATTCAGTTTTACTTACTATTTTGGGGGTTATAGAAAGGTATATTTTAACTTTGACGTATGCGCGCCAATCTAGCGTTAATTCCGTTTATATGTCTGTACTTTTTTTGCACGCTATCTAGCGTCAATTCAGTTAATGTCTGCTGGTTTTGCATCGATGTTGATTTTTTTTAATGGTGTCTGGTGATTTTTATCTTAGGCGGTTTGTTTTGCATTTCAGTATACTTTTGCAAAATTAATTGTTCGTTGTGCGTTAGTTACGTCTTTCATGCCCTTTGCGCCGCCCATATATAATTCTTTTCTTTTATTTTTAAGTTATCAAGATTGCTTGGAACCACTTGTATGATGACAAAATATTTTTAAAACTTATACAATAAGTTTTCCCCTCAAAAATATTTAATTTGGGGGAGTCTTTTTATGCTTAAACTCCAATATGCCAACAAAGGAATTGACGCGGTTAATATAAGTAATATTCTTAATCACAAAAGGATCCAGTCGTATTCCACCATATTTCAAGTTGAAGACTACACATTGTATTTCCTACAAATATACATCGACTATTGCTTCCAAACTTTTTAATTACAAGAAAACTTTACAGAGCCTGGATATTGAGCATCTGATACATAATCCTCCTTCCTGTTCATGTTCTTTTTACCCTACAACTATAGTCCTGCTGGACACGTTATTACTGGTGATGTAAATATAGTTAATAATGAGGACCTTAGATGAACTAATTTTAAAAGGTCCTAAATATAGGAAACCCCGATCCTTTAACTGGCGACGTAATTTCATACATATTATGGATTCTGTAGAGGATTATGCCAGACTTTGGGTCAGACATGAAAAAGAAGACCTTGACACTTTGTCAGAATGGATTAAATGTATCAGATATATGTTAAAATCTCGCATTAAGCGATTGAGGGGCAGTATGAAAACCATCTATCCTTCTGTTTTCAGTAATTCAGAAGCGAAAAAAGAATTTGATAGATTACAAGATCAGTACGTACTGGTCCCTGCTGACAAAGCAGGTAACAACATTGTCTTTGTTTGTAAGGCTCATTATATAAATTGTATTTTAGAGGAACTGAGATTTAATTCTACAAGTGGTAATCCAACTTATACCCAAAGCTCCCTTTATAAGGAGGAAATTCTTCAAAATTATACGTCAGTTTTGAATATTTTTAATATTCCCAACAACCAAAATGAGTCTGAATTACCAAATCTATATTGGATTCCGAAACTTCATAAAAATTCTTACAAAGGAAGATACATAGCGGGTTCAAGTAAATGTTCTACCAAGCCTCTTTCTGTACTCCTCACTAAGATACAGTAGTTAAGGAGAAACTCCAAGAGTGCTGTGCAACAATATATTCAAGAAGTGGTGTAAATCAAATGTGGATACTAAAAAATTCCAAGGAACTTTTGGAACATTTGAAATCACAAAATTTTATCAAAATCAACAACATAAAAACTTACGACTTTTCAACTTTATATACAACTATTCCCCACGATAAATTAAAGTCTACACTTTCTGACATCGTTGATAGCTGCTTTTTCAATAAAAATGGAACTCGTAAATTTACTCACCTTGTCATTGGTCATTTACAAAATTATTTTGTTAAAAAGCACTCTGTTTGTACACACAAGTACTCTGAAGTTGACATTAAAAAGATGCTCGAGTTTCTGATTGACAATATCTATGTGGTTTTTGGAGACCAGGTCTTCCAACAATCTATTGGAATTCCCATGGGTACCAATTGCGCCCCGTTATTAGCAGACCTATTTTTGTATTCATATAAAGCAGAATTTGTTCAAAATCTTTTACGTGAAAAGAAGAAAACACTTGCTGTGGCTTTCAACTCGACATTTAGATTATCGACGACGTATTGTCAATTAACAATGGTTATTTCCATTCTTATGTCGACACGATATATCCCGGTAAGCTTGAAATAAAAGATGCCACAGAGTCTGACACATCTGTTTCATATTTGGATATTTTATTAGAAAAAGACTTTAATGGTAATCTAACAACAAAGCTTTATGATAAACGTGATGACTTATGAAACAATATACCCTTAAATTATCACCTGCATACGGGGTTTATATCTCTCAGTTGATTCGATACGCCAGAGCATGCTCTACGTATGAACAATTTCTAAAACGAGGTAAATTATTGACAAACAAGTTGATGAAACAAGAATATCGACAGTCTCGTTTAAAGTCATCATTTCGTAAGTTCTATTGTCGATACAATGACCTTGTCAGCAAATACAATCTATCATTAAGTCAAATGCTGACGGACTTTTTTCATACTATTTGTTAGGCCATTATTTACACACTGAAATGTCAACGGATTTGTACGTTATTTCCCGGTCATGACAAGGAGCACACGTCGGGATGCTCACTCCTCCATGACACCTGATCCCACCTCTGAAGTTTTAGAGGTCCGTGTTTGCTCTGCTTATTTTGTAATCATGTTTAATGGACTTTTGAGCTCGAATACTGTTTGTTATCTCCACATATTTCATTTTATGTATCAGTCGAAATGATACATTCCAAAACAATTTATTGAAACAAAAGGATTACATTATCGATAACATATAGTGCATATTAGAATACAAAAATAGGACAAAGGTATTTTAAAAGAAGAAAAACAAAATGGAAAGATGGGGGGGGGGGTGGTCTAGCCCCCAAGTGCCTGTGGCTCTAAACAGCTCAGTATAATTTATTACGTTACTCTACAACTCCAGCATATAATTCATGTAGGGAAAGTAGTGTACGACACTGTATGGAGTATGATAAATATCTTTTGTATGTAAACAAGGGTTGGTGCCTTTTTTATTTACAACGCTAACACGCTTCATGAAATATGCCGTCGTGAAACGTCGTAGTTCATGTTTTCATCAATCTTCAAAAATTAAATTCATTTCTTAAATAAATGACTGCAGTCAAATCAGTTTGCATGATAATTCATCAAATGACCAATAAGAAACATAAGGAAATGTTTAATATCGCATCGTATGGTTGAATTGAAATAATTGCTTAAGAATTTATGCTATATATTATCAAAAAACTAATCCAGATACAATTATAATGTGAACCAAATTAAAATGGGGGTGGGGGTGGGGATGTTCTAGTCCGAATCAAACAAGATAGAATTGTCTTGAATCTGCATCACCGGAAGTACACGTATCTGTATCCAAACATTCTACGTAGAAATAAACATTCTGGAAAATACCAACTGTAAGTTTCATCATTTATGTAGTTTATTATTTTTACGTGCAAACATGTATTTAAAGTGATATTGTCTGTTTTGAATTCAACATCATAATATCGGACGCTTACTTGACTATTTCCGTGTCGTTGACAAATAAATTGAAAACTTGTCAACACTTTATTTAATTACATACAAACATTTTTTTCAGCAAGAATTCAATCTCTATTTAGATTGCCAGTGGCCTGAAAAACTGAACATTATCAGAAAATGAGGAGCATTTTGTGTTTATTCTTTGTGCAAACGTTTATTGCTGTTGCACTGGGTGAGTTGACGACTAATATATTGAAAGTTTCATAATTATATCTTCGAAATATTAGAACAGTAAATCTTTTTAACTAGGACAAACGTCGTATTAATTTTTAATTTAACCCATATTCCTTTCATAGGGGCATTTGGAAGTCATGGCGACAAAATTCGACTCACAGATATTCAAACTCTTACCTTGAAGAGTGGAATGATGACCAATGCCAGAAGATCTGCGGCCGTCCCTCAGGTACAGATTCAAAAGATTTTTATGATGTACTGTAAATTTTTGGGGGGTAGAAATTCTTTCATTGAAGCGATAAAAGTCCATTGGAACAGGATTTTTGATAGAGTTTGTTATTTGTTTTGGCAATGTAGCAAAATTTAAAAGGTGTAAATAATTTTAATCATGCACATACTGTGAAAATTCAGAGAGTTCTAAATGTCAACATAGCATTTAAATTGAAGAGAGGACAAAATTGTCTCAAAAATGTATTGAATTTTTCCTTTATAGGATTAATTTTTGGGGATGGAAGGTACATCAAATCTCATATATGTTTCTGGTGATTAATTTGATGTGTATGTACAATGTGTAACTTCATTTATATTCTTAAAAATTGTGCCAGAGTTGATGTACTCTGTTTTGTTTCATTGCAACTACATTGGATATATTGTAACTTTGTAAATGGGGGGGGGGGGGGGGGCTGTTCCCAATTAGCTGATTTTTTAAAATGATACATTTGTAGTCACCATATTATCATGGTAATAAATTTAGTTTTAAAAACTAGTTACTCCTCTGTCATATTTCTATATTTCTTGATATATGCTTACATTTAGTTAAGATCTTTACAAAACCCTACATTTGGTTTTGAAAGTAAAATTTTTAGCCCAAAATCCACATTGCTAAGCATTGACTTATTAGGGGAGGGAGAAAATACATATTTATATTAATTTTATTAAATGGGCCACTAGTTCTGAAGAAGAATAAGGGTTAAATGTAGAAAGATAACACACAGACATGAGACAGAAAACTGTTAAGAAACGTCAATCAAAGATGCTCACAGGGATAGACATTAACTTTCAGATTCACTTGCCCTTCGGGCAGGTGAACTCAAACTTTGACTTGTCCGAACGCAAGCCTTGGTTGCCCAAAATTAGGAAAGAACTGAACATTATTTATTACTGTAAACGTTATGATAAGAAAAAAATGTGACCAAATACACTACTGTCAATTTAGCAAGTTGAGCTACCTGAAAAAAATTCGATGATGCATTTGTTAATAAATGTATACCACTGAACTTGTAAATTTAACCTGTTAGCACACACTGCCATGCAGCAATAACCCTCCGTTTCCTTTTTATAAAATTCATATTTATTCTTAAAAATTATTTTCCGTAGGATCCTTTTGTGAATCGTGATTTTCAGAAATAACTGTGAAGCAAAGCTAAAGGAAGATAATTGCTACGAAACATACATTTTATCTTGATTAGGATACATTGTGTTACACTGTACTTATGATCTGTGCGTGAATAAATAATTTAATTTCCTAGTAAGAAGTTAACAAAATTTTGTTAGACGTAGAGCGTTTTTACTAAGAAAGAAAATAACGAGCCCGATTTTTAAATGAACAATATAATCTAGAAACGCTAGCAAGGAATTCCGAATGCAAAAACATTGTCAGTCAGGTACGTTGTGGAAATCAAGTGTTCAATTTATTGTTGTATCTATAAATTAATGGTAACTAATAAATATATACATTTGTATGCAAAAAATTCACTTGCCCGGTCGGACAAGTATGTTGACATTTTCACTTGCCCGAACTGATAATTTACTTGTCCCGGGCAATCGGACAACCGTTAATGTCGATCCCTGGCTCATGAGGGCATTTGATTCATTTGAAAATTACAAAGCAGATTATAAAACTTGAAAAGGTGACCTTACAATTCGTTCCAGCATTTTGAAAGAATATTGTGAAACTTTCATAAATCTCTTCAAAGACTTTTTGAACAAAAAGTTACTTTTTTTTTAAACAGTTGAAGTGTGTGGGAGGGACAGCTGGTTGTCATGCCTTCAAGCCACAAGTTGTGCAGTGTTATAACAGGGGGTCTGATGGTTATGATGTACAGGTATACAAGTTTCTTATTATAACTGTGTGTAAACCCATAGCAGTGAAATATTAACATGCAGCATCAGTTGAAAAGATTTAACATGGTTTTGAAAAAAAAATATATGTAATGATTTGATTCATAATGGACAATGCCAGTGGTAGAATAGACGCACTCTCGGGATTAGGCCAAATAAAAAAATATGTGTGGTTCCGGTTACCCGACCGTCCCTATTTTATACCCCCGACCCTAAACTTTTTTTGGCAATTTTCATATTTTTTCCAGAATTTTCCCCAATTTCCATCAATGGCTCCGGTTTAAGTATTAGTTTCAGCAATGACGGCCCCCTTGCACAACATAGTGCAAGTGTTTATTAGTGTTAAATCCAAAGCAAGCTAGCATGTAGATGTCCCCTACTAATATTTACTAGTATATTATCACACCACATCTAAATGTCATTTGCAAAGTAGTGATAAGTATTATTTAGAAAAATTAAGAAATTCATTTTGTAAAAAAAAAAAAAAAAAAAAAAAAAAAAAAAAAAAAAAAAAAATCCTTACCTACCTACCCTAATTTTTTTGGAGGTGTAACCGGAACCACACATACTTTTTTGTTTGGCCTTATTTCAATTTCAGTCATTTGTACAGTGCATATAGCTTTTAAATAAAGTATGCATATTATAATGACTATACTCTTTATATTAATAGTGGGAATGTAAAACAGACATGGACAATGCTTACCGCTTTGGTTCAGTGGACGTGACCTGTGAGGGATATGATTATCCTGATGACCCCTATGTTTTGAGAGGCTCCTGTGGGGTAGGGTTATTTTGAAAATAAACACTTGTGTTCTCTAGGAACAAATCTTATAGGTTTTTCTAGCTTAGTTACATTGACAAAGTAAAATTAATAAAATTTCAAGCACAATTATTTAACCATTTTTTTAAGGAGACTATGCTTTCAAATGATTTGGATTCGCATTTTCAGTTGGAGTACACAATTGATCTCACAAAGGAAGGATACCAACAGCAGCATAGTGGGGGACATGATTACTATGGTGGTCACTCATATAGTAGCCCTTATACTGGTAGTCAGTCGCATGGGTAAGTTTATCATCAAATCATTGAATTTATATAAAACAAGAGTGTAGCCTACCTGTAATTATGATATTTAAAATTCTTACTCAATATTTGCAAGGAGGCATTAATAAAAAGAGTGTTTACATTTTTTTAATGTAATATCTATTATTATTAAAACAGTGAAGACGTATTTTGATATTTTTATCTTTTACTTCAGATTTGGACGCAAAGTGGGGTCAATATTTAGTGATCTGTTAACACTTGGGGTGGCTGCTCTGATTATTTACGTTATTTATAAGACATGCATATCAGCAACAACTGGTTATGCTGCCAATAATGGCTACAGACCCATGGGTAGTGATAATCAACCTCCTCCACCAGGCTTCAGAGATGAGTACACACAGCCAGGTACAAGAAACTTCAACACTTTTCAATAGGGCCTTGTTACGCCACTGCAAGTCATTTATTTTGAAAAAGTGTTTTATTCTGGGAAGTCAAGTTATAAAAGGGGATTTCAAAGATTTTCAAAATTGGAGATTTTAATTCATACTCCTTGCATAATGAAAAAAAAGTTTCCTGAATAAAGTGGCTTTCTGTGGACTTGCCAAGAGATAGTTTACTTTTAGTATCCGCTCTTCCAAGATTGCCATTCAATGAGGTGTTTGAAAATGTTATTTTTAATATAGCCTCTGAAAATTGTGGTAATACTGAACATTTTGGAGTGGAAATGAATTCCAAATGAATCAATAGACGTATTTCAAGAAAAATTGAGAAAGCCTTAATCTAAGACTTTTACTTTTGCAACCCATTTGCTTAATTTCTGGATATATTAAGAGTATGTTTTTATATTTGCAAAGGATGTGGAACCACTTACACTCCAGGCACTGGTTACACAGGTGGTGCAGGAACTGGTGGAGGATTCTGGTCTGGAGCTTTCACAGGTGGCATTCTGGGATACTTGCTAGGAAACAACAGGAATAATTATTATGCCCCTGGCTATGCCTCACCCTACACAACAGGCTGGGGATGGAATAGGAGGGCCTCACCAGGCTGGTTCAGCTCTGGCTCTGGTTCAGGGTTCAGCAGCATGGGAGGACTTGGAGGAGGGTCAACTGGCACTCGTACAGCTTCAGGATTTGGAGGTACAAAAAGGAGATAGAAATATGGACACTGAGATACAGGCATCTGTGGATGTTTGATCTGGAGATGGAATGAGAACTGACTGACTGTGATATGGAGATATTACGCAATGAATTTTCTGGATTTATTTTATTGCTTACAAATGTTATATGTTGTGTGATATTTTGGGTGTATGAGTTATCAGAAAACATGAATTGTGTATTCTGTTACATTTGTTTCAAGTCACAATTTTTATCCACAGACATGTATGATAGAATTGTATGGAAGATCTTATATTTGGACTTGTTATTATGCATGTAAATCCGAGTTATCAGTATTTCATTTATTATTTTACTAATTAATAATTGATTTGCAAATCAGGTGATTTTTTTTTTGTTTGCAAAGAAGAGGACACTTACATTATTTCTAAAGCCTATGTTACAAGTCTGGTATTTTAACTGTTGACATTGTTTCATGTTAAAACTGCCATAATAATTTTTAAAAAAAAAATGATTTTCCTTATTTCTTTGTTCTCTATATGGACAATGACAAACATTTGTGACAAAAAAATTACAAGCAGTGCTACATGTATGCATGTTTTTAAAATGGTAAAAAGACTGATTTTATACCTACTTGAATCTTTATTAAATACAAGTTACCTGTTTTGTTTTGTTTTTTTCATATAAAACCAGTAGCTGTAAGGAAGATTTCAAGTAAACCCATCTGTTTTAATTTCCTCAAATTTTTTTTTAATCTTTGCCATCAGAGATACATGTATAAGAAAGAGATAAAAGAATATGTGAAAAATGTAATTTGAGTGTAGTGGAAAATGAAATACATTTTACCATAAATTGTCCTTTTTACAAAGAAAAAAAACCCAAACTCTTAAATGAAGCACAGAAACATAATAAAAATTTTAATAGCTTAGATAGTTCGCAAAAATATTTTTGGATCATTACCTGTGAAAATATGAATGTTTTACTTCAACTTGGAAACTACTTCTCTAATCATTTAATATGACATTGTAAAGCACAACAACTTGCTTTGTATGTATTTTACTTTTACAATTAAAAAAAAAAATTCTCCTTATTGATAATGCACTGCCTTTGTCTACTAATGTGTCTTTCATGCCTCTCTGGGGGCCCTTGATTGAAAATAAATGTTGTCGATATGTCTCTGTTACCATATATAGCTACATGTAGAAACCAAATCTATTAGAAACCAAAAAAAAATTTTTTCTGTAAGGGAGGACAGAATTTCTATTCGATAATGACAGAAAAAGGGAGTTGAAGATTTTTCTTGGTGCAGGCAGGCACATAGGAACATAATTAAAGTGAAAGGGGGGGGGGGGGCAGAAACAATTACATTGTACTGACAGACAAAAAGAAAAAAGCCTGAAAACGTCTGAGGATTCCACTACTGCAACAAAAATGGGGGGTTAAGTAATAAAAAGGGTAAAGGGGGACTCCCCCTTGTACTACAGTCATATAGGAGCAGATTTTCCAAGGATAGGAAAAGTTATAAAATCTCACATTTTATCATCTATGTAATTATTGTAATATAATTAATAGCTCAATGAACATGATATATTTGAAGACCATAGGTCAAAGTAACGAAATATACACCATTTAATTTTACTTCGAATAAGGAATGCCGTACGAATCATTTTATGTATGGGTTAATGTGTTCAGTTTCTCCGAAATTGGAAATAGAGTAAATTCGAACTAAAAACTTGCAAAAAGAAACCTATGATTTACTCTCAATATGTGGGAGAAGTATTCATTCATTCTGTTATTGTTTTATTTTACAGCTGCTGTTGGTGATATCTCAGTGGTAAGCTAAGAGTTTATTGTAATGTTTTCTAAAAGTTAATTCAGACTAATTTCAATGTTTTTAAAATTAACTGAATCAGCATCTTATTATTAGCAGATCAGTTAATTTGTGATGTTGCATGGAGTATATTCTAATTATGTAAATACTACATATATCCCAAAATTACTCTTATCTATAGAAATTCAACCATATCCAGTGATACGATTTGATGGTTTTATCCTTCCAGTTTTTTTCCTATGTCATGATTTGATGTGTACAGTATTATGTATAGACTACTATAGTGTAAGCCTGTTAACTTTACACTGAATTTAGCTCTAATTATATTCTTTTAGATCTCGGCTGCACATGTATGTGATTTAAAATCATGTAAAAGTCCATCAACTCTAGATTGTCCAAGTTTGAACTCGTCATCCAGAGGTCGTTGCTGTCTAAAAGAAAATGATTCATTGTCCCCAGCTTCAGTGACTGGGTACTTATAACGATACTTTTTTTTCAATTTGCAATTTTAAAATATTTCTGTCAATTCCCATGCTAGTAAGAGTCTGACGCCCCTCTCCTTCAAGAAATGATCTCTGACCTGTACAATTTTTAAAAATATGATGCTTTATTTTTTAAATGAGACTACATAATACTATCAAGCCCTCACATATTTCCATTTCTGTTTTCTATTTTCATAACCTGAAATTTCCCAGGATACTATATAACCATGATAACTGCCAATGTAGGCTTTAAAGAAGAAAGTGGAAGTTAAATTGTAGTGGTTTTACTGATTTCTAGAACATTGTCATTGGTTGTCGCTTTCATTGATTTAAGTTAAAAAAAATTTAGTGGTCTGTCCCTGAGGCTGACATTTTCTCTGTATATCTTTTGAATTCAGAAAATTTAGGATGCTTTTAATTGGTTTAGTTTACATGTAGTGAAGTGCTTATGTCAGAGGGGTATTCAAATTACATATACTTCGATCCTAACAAATGTATTTTTTTTCCCTTCACAGAATTGATTTAATAGACTGTAGCTTGACAAATATATCTGGGCTTTTTCATTCAATGGAACATTTGAACATTTTGTAAGTATTCTCTGAGCTCAAGTAATCATCAAACAATTGACAGAGTGAAACTATTTTACAGTATTATCTTTCTATGCTAGTCATTCTGCATGTCATACTTGGAGAAGTACATGTACTGGTCTGAAGACGACAAGAGAGATGTACTGTATTTGAAATGTTATAATGCATAACTTGCACGAGTCTAAAAGAGATTGATGAGGTGAAAATAACTTCAATGTCTGGTTTTTCATGCCATATTTAGATGCGTATATTTTGTATGTAATATATATATAACTTGCACTGTGCAGATAATACATTCAAATTTGATTTTAATTATAGGTACCTACACAAGAACAACATCAGTGAAATTGATGTAGATGACTTTACTGGGGTTAATGACTTAAAGAATTTGTTAGTATGATTTTTTTTTCTTAAAAAATACTTTGCTTTTCTCATCAGTTTGTCTTGTGCTTGTTGTTAGTTCCCTTGTGCCATAGGCTGAAGTGTCAGCTTCTTTGACAGCAAATTTTCTAGTATCTGTATGTCTGTAATCTCTACCTTTTCAACTTCTAAAGAACTAGAAGGGAATTTTGAACCAAGCATGGGACAAAACATCCTTTGAAAATGGGATTCAATTCTTTTTTCTTGTTTTTTTTTAAATGAAGAATTATGCCTTACATGTATTCTAGGATAGGCAGTCATGAATTGATGATAAAAGGGTGTTGTTGTTTTTTTTATTTTGTTTTTTTTTTTAATCAAAAACCAGGTAAACAGTGTTTGTTTTTTGTTTTTTTGTTTTTTTGTTTTTGTTTTTTTTTTATTGAGAGCAGAGCTAGTTAGTAATTAATATTCAAACATGCTCCTGAAGGGAGATCCAAGATTATTCTAATCAAGTTCCCAGACTAGGATTGAGCCATAACAGAGAGTTGTAGTTTTTAAATAGGAATGGTAATTGTGCCACAATTAGGATGTCAACACATCACACAAGTGTATATGGGGAAGTCTTTTATAACATGTCAAGAAAAGTTTTGGCCATTGACATAAATCATTTTCAACCTTTTTTATGTAATATAGATGTTTGTTCCAATCAAAACCCATGGGGTAAGGATTGGGGTCAATTAAGGTTCATTGAAATGTGATGAAAGAATCTGTTAACAGTTACAGGCATCAGATCCCCATGAAGTGTAGATTCAAGATTGCTTGAGTCGTGGTCCTCTGAGATGGAATGGGGCCACAGAACAAATTCCTATATTTATATAAGAATATAATTTATATTGAGAAAGATTCTGTAACCTTTTGTAATGTTGATGGTAATAAAAATGCACATACATGTACATGTACTATGAATTGTTAAATTTGGCAAATTGAGATTCTGTTTCCTTATTCAGCAGCTTTCTGCAGTCAAATTTCTTGAAGACTGATATAAATGAAATCATGTGCATGATATGAAGTTTGTTTGTTGAGAGATATTGATTTTGTTTAGGACTTTGCCTCCAAATTTGTCATGTCCCGGTGGACCTTCTTTATGGAGCACAGAAGAAATTCATCCAGATATGGTGGTTTGTTTAGAGGAACGGAGCACATGTAAAGTTTTCAATGGTAGGATTATTCTTCATATCTTAAGTAGTGTTCATATCCTAACCTCCGAGTTAGTTTTGTCACACCGGGTGTCCCAGTTTTGATTTAGAATAATTTTTTAAAATTTTTTTTAAATGAAAAGATAGGCTACAAATTGTTCAGTTATGCAAGTACAGCCTTAGATTGATTATCTTGACCATGGGACCAAAAAAAAGGTTTGAGATATCGGAGGGTTCAAGATGTTGAAGATAAAATACTTAAAGAAAAAGAGCTTGGGACTTCCAAATTATTTTGACATATCCAGATTCCATGGTGTTTGAGATATCCATATTTAAGATACCAAAGATCAGCTGTATTTATGTGCAGTAATACTTGATTATAGCAAGTACAGATATTGCAAATTCATGCATACAATCAGCTACATGTAATAGGTTTTTATTTAGTTCTCGAAAAATATAATTAAATAATATTGTTAATTACTTGTTTATTATTTGCAGTAAGTTGTCCCAATTCCAATAGCTATTGTTCTGATGTGGGCCCACAGATTACGGAGTGTCTCTGCAGACCAGGTTTCCATGGTTACAAGTGTTTAAGGAAGGTAAGTCTATACAAAAGTTATGATATTAAGGGGAATTAATTCCGTAACTTTATCACAATGGTAACTTTTGACACAAAATTGGAAACAATACGAGTAATGATTTACGAATTGAGCGATGAGGGTTCTTATTTCACACTATCATAAAATTTTAAGAAACTTTTTATATACACTGTATATGTGTACTAGTAAATATTGCTCTCTGTTATTCAATAATCCCATATTTCTTTAAATATTATGGAATTTTCTTTTCTTCATATTTTAGGATGATTTTCCAACAGCAACATTTGTGATAGGAATTTGTGTTAGTACATTTATATTGTCTGCATTCTTATGGATAACACAAAGAAGGAAGGTGAAAACACATTAACAGGAGTGTATTTGGTCAGTTATATGGGATTGGTTCCATATATAGTGATTTAAGGATTTTTCTAAACATAATCCATGATTTGGGATCAAATGTTTTCTTCAATGCTGTGAAAAGGCATTACCGGTACTTTAATTTCATCATTTGTTTGCACATTATATTTATATCTTTGATAATGCTTGCATGACAGAAATATGTGATAACTTTTTACATGCAAACTGATTTTTAAGTAAATTTTGAAACTTTTTTCAATGTTAGAAATTGAGTTATACAATTTTTTTTTAGAATATTAATAAATGCAATTTAAAAAATTAAGAAAGGTTCCTTTCAAAAGTTATCATATAATACTAACATACATGTAGGGACATCATTATATGAAGTAAAATGTATGCGTGTACTTCTCAGAGGAAGTATTTTAATTTGGACAATCTTTTTTAAAGTCACCAGACTTCATAATTGTTAGAAAATCTAGTCATAAGTGTTACACATCTGTTATGTCAGCATCATTTGTTCACATCATTTGTTGTCCTGTTCTGTGTAGATTTCAGTGAAATTAATTTTATGCAATATGGTGCCAAAGACATTTTCTGTTCTTGTTTTATTTTGTTCTTTAACTTGTGTTAAATTTTAATTGAATGTTTATTTACTTTAAGAAACAAGAATATTTGAAAGTTCATTTCCGTGTATGTATATAATTAGCACCCATAGTTAATATCATCTTGAGATACTTAATATCATGTGAAACATCTTTTTTTAGATGCTTTGTCTCATGTTTGGAAGTTTTGGATTTTACAAATGTTCGTAACTTTGTTACTTGTGAAAGATCAAAAAGAATGTATGTTATGTATTTTTTTTTATATATTCATTTTTATTCTTTTATAGTTCCTAATAAACAATTGCAATTTTTGTTGTCCTTTTAAGTCTTTGAAAATGTAAAATTTCATAACAGACAACTAGTATATACTACAGTATTAGTATGGCTTTTTACAAATTGACAGAGCTTTTTTTTTCATTTTTTAAAGTGCATTTCATTGTTTTTTTTTTTTAAACAAGGGAATTTTTGTTGTACGTGCGTAAGTATTCTTAATAATCAGGAGAGGGGGTCGAGTTGCTACTGAAGAAAAATAAAAATGTTTTCGAAATCAAATAAAAGTGAAGTCAAGACAAGGGAAAGGTCAAGGTAAAAAAATGTTGATGCAGTTGAATGGCTTACTTCAGTATGTATCAGCATATGAAGTTTGATTACACTATCTTGAATGGTTCATTTAAAACTGAGCTAAACACTAATTTAAGGAAAGTGAGGTCAAGGTCAAAAGAAAGGACAAGGTAAAAAAATGTTGATGCAGTTGAATAGCTCTCATCCGTATGTGTCAGCATATGAAGTTTGATAAAAATATCTCGAACAATTTCTTTGAAACTTAGCTTTGAACTGAGCTAAACGCAAAGAGGGACGGAAGGACAGACGGAAGATGGACATGGCAAACTCTATATGCACCGGCCATATTCATGGCGGGGCATAAAAAGCAACAAAATTTTTAACTAAAAATTATATTTGTATATCACCTGTTCCGATGGTTCATTATGCTATATGAAACTAAAATAAGCGAAAAAATGAATTATATTTTAAACTGAGATAGCTGTAAAATAAAAGGGGCGAGTACACCCGGGGAAAGAGTTGAAGATTTTTAAAAATTACAGAGGATATTGATGGAAAAAAAAAGACAGAGAGACAGCAATACATCTTCAGAAACTAGTACAAATAGATAAAGTAACATTCAGACTATAAAGCAAGGATGCATGTGGTTTTTGAACATATATGTTTTCAACCAAATGCAGGGCCGTCACCAAGTCTCTGGAAAGAGGGCGCCGGGTAGGGTCTTAGAGGGATACTCCCTCTCCTAAGATAGGAAATTTTATAAATGGTACCAATTAGGTAGGTTTTGATTCATTCTTGAAATCATTTTTCTGAAAATTAAGTAAAATCTAGCAGCATTACTTCAAACCTGATGAATAATTAATTAAAAAATAAATTTTTTCAGATTTTTTTTTTTCAAAATGGGGAGGGGAGTGCAATCGCACTGACGACCTTGGAATGCTCACTGTATGTATACAAAAAAAAAAACAACAACAAAAAACAAGAGGCCCATGGGCCGCATCGTTCACCTGAGCACATTGGCTAGGCAAAAGCACAAATCAGTTCAGTATTGAAAAGATTACCGAGGGGGTTGAATTTTAAACTACCTGATGATGCTTCCATGTCAATATAACAAATGGCTTTGTTGTACTTGAGAATATTTTTTTAAAAAAATTCTCATATATTCCTTTGAAAAAAAAATTTGATCCCCCATTGTGGCTCCTCCCTATCCCAGGTGTCATCATTTGAACAAACTTGAATCTACACTACCTGAGGATGCTCCCATATCAATATGACTAAACACAGCTTTTCTGTTCTTGAGAAGAAATATTTTTCTGTGTGTTCTTATGTAAAACTTTCGATCTCCCATTGGGCCCCACCCTACCCCCGGGGGTCATCATTTGAACAAACTTCAATCTACACTACCTGAGGATGCTTCCACATAAATATGATCAATCAGGGCTTTGCTGTTCCAGAGAAGAAGATTTTTAAAATTTTTCCTATATATTTGTATGTAAAACTTTGATCCTCCATTGTGTTCCCGCCCTACCCCTGGGGGTCATGATTTGAACAAATTTGAATCTACACTATACCTGAGGATGCTTCCATATCAATATGACTAAACATAGCTTTCCTGTTCTTGAGAAGAAATATTTTTCTATATGTTCTTATGTAAAACTTTCGATCCCCCATTGGGCCCCACCCTACTCCCGGGGGGTCATCATTTGAACAAACTTCAATCTACACTTCCTGAGAATGCTTCCACATAAATATGATCAATCAGGGCTTTGCTGTTCCTGAAAAGAAGATTTTTAAAATTTTTCCTATATATTTGTATGTAAAACTTTGATCCTCCATTGTGTCCCCACCCTACCCCCGGGGGTCATGATTTGAACAAACTTGAATCTACACTACCTGAGGATGCTTCCATATAAATATGACTCATCATGACTTTGCTGTTCTCGAGAAGAAGATTTTTAAAGATTCTTCCTATATATTTCTATGTAAAAATTTGATCCGCCATTGTGGTCCCGCCCTACCCCCGGGGGTCATGATTTGAACAAATTTGAATCAACACTATCTGAGGATGCTGTCATATAAATATGACTCATCATGGCTTTGCTGTTCTTGAGAAGAAGATTTTTAAAGATTTTTCCTGTATATTTCTATGTAAAATTTTGATCCTCCATTGTGGCCCCGCCCTACCCCTGGGGGTCATGATTTGAAGTAACTTGAATCTACACTACCTAAGGATGCTTCCACATGAGTTTCATCTTTCCTGGCCCGTGGTTCTTGAGAAGAAGATTTTTAAAAGATGCTATTATTAATGACAGGGGTTGTATACTGTCGACAGTATTACTCCTCTTACTCCTCGCATTCAGCCACATGGCTGCAGATCTGTTGCTCACTGGTGTGGGGAAACAATTGGAATGGGCAGTCCATGTTTTCAGACCGACAGATCAGCGGGTATGTACGAATCACAATAAACAAAAACAATAAGATGTGTTTGTGAAACACTGATGCCCCCGTATGGCAACTTATAGCAAAGGTTAAACTTTCTCAAATGCAAATCAAATAGTTGGTACCCAAAGTAAGGTCTTGTGTCGAGGAATATACCTGTGAAATATGAGAGCCCTAGCAGCAACCATTGAATAGATATGGAAAAGGTTAAAGTTTTTTCAAAAGTAAGTCAAACATCCAGGTCAAGGTAAAATGGTCAAAATTAATGGTGCCTAAGGAAAGGCCTTCTCACAAGAAATATACTGGTGAAATATGAAAGTTGAAGCACCAATCGTTCAAAAGTTATGACCAAGGTTTAAGTTTTTCGAAAGAAGGTCAAACTCCAAGGTCAAGGTCAATGGATTACAATTGTTGGTATTTAAAGGAAGGTCTTGTCACAAGGATTATATATGTGAAGTATGATAGCCCTAGCACCAACGGTTCAATAGATATGGCCAAGGTTAAAGTTTTCCCTAAGTAGGTCAAACTCAAAGATCAAGGTCAAAGGGTCAAAGTTGTTGGTATTCAAAGGAAGGTCTTGTCACAAGGATTACATATGTGAAGTATAAAAGCCCTACCATCAACCGTTCGTAAGTTATGGCCAAGGTTAAAGTTTTTCAAAATTAGGTCAAACCCAAGGTCAAGGTCAAAGGGTTAAAGTTGTTGGTATCCAAAGAAAGGTCTTCCCACAAGGATTACACTTGTGATGTATGAAAGCCCTAGCACCAAAAGTTATGGCCAAGGTTAAAGTTGGGTAAAATTTTGCAAAACTGGGTCAAACTCCAAGGTCAAGGTCAAAAGGTCAAATATGGTGGTACCCAAAGAAAGGTCTTGTCACAAGGAATACACATGTGAAATATGAAAGCCATAGCTCCAACCAATCAAAAGTTATGGGCAATGTTAAAGTTTTAGCGGACAAACAGACAGACAGACGGATCTTCGATACGGGGGCATAAAAACGCACAAATACATGTAATACGATATGATTCCAATGTACAGCACAATTTCTGGACGTACAGCGCTGGGCAGCTGCTTGATTTAGTGGGATAGACAGAATCTTGTTTCACAAATCAGACGGGGTTGCTAGTTGCGATATATTCAAATATAAAAATGTTTGAAAACTTCATTGACAGGAAGATGAGGAGTGAAATTCTAGTCTGGACATAAGTTACAAGGTCGAAAGGGGGACATAACCCCCCACCCCACCCCCAACCCCGAGTTTGTTTTGAATTTATTTTCGATGTATCGGATTAAGTGAAATTTATGAAAAATGGAGAGCATCTTTTAAAAAAAACTTGCAATTTCACTCGTAAACATTTTACATGCGGAAATAATTATAGAATCCAGACACATGTATATGACTATAAAATAATTATTTTATAGACCCAAACAAAAAACCAAGTAAATGCCAAGAGTTGAACATTGAAGCCGAGAAGTTTTAGAGGTTCATACTTGACAAAAAGGTAGCTTGTGACCAGAGTGAGGAAGTGTATATAAAATAGGATTTTTCAAGCATCACCTTTTGATTTATATCATTAAGAGGGGACGTTTATGCTATGGTTTACCAACATTGATGTGACCCCCTCCAAAATTTTTGACTCCCAATTTTTTGTATCCCTCCCCCTTTCCTCCGAAAATTGAAAAGATGACGGAATCATCGATAAATTACCCGTAGCTTTTTGTTATTACCTTGCGTGAGACGACACAAAATTTTATCAATCACTGTGTATAACATCTTCGTAACCCAAGAGTTTTTGGTCCGTTTCGCTCCCCACAAACTTTAATTACCAAGAGCGAAGCGGACCAAAAACCCTTGGCTTCGGAAGACGTGTGTACCACTCTTGATCACATTTTGAATCTTCAAGTGGTTTGCAAAATACGCTCGTCAAAATCAATTTAAAGTCATGACCTGCCTGATTCTTTGCTTTTAACATCTAAACGAAATTTAGCAGAGGTCTATTCAATGCTTTATTTGTTCACTTAATCTCGATTAAAGACTCGCTTCAAATTCCTCCCTAAGCATTTTAAATCGTTCACATATCATCTTCTACTATAGTATTTCAAACAGTAAGTCCTGCACACTTCAAAAATAATTGAATTCATTGACATGCCACCCTTTGTCAATATTTGTTGTGCAATCTCAATTTAACATGCTTTTGAATTCTTTGATAATGATCAATGCAATTTAACAAAACATATAAAGATATCTGTTTACTTGTTTCAAGAAATACACATCGAACACACACTGCATTCACTTTATTTCAAAGTGTCCA